CGTTTTATTTTTATTTTATTATGTACCCGACTTTATCTCGCCAGGAAGCAAGACGCAAACCAAACAAGATCGCCATTAAGCCTCCTGCCAAATTGCAGTATTCCCACAACTCGGGGACCGAGCATTGGATTTGTCGGTCAACAAATGCACCCCCCCCCCCGCTGCCTTGTAAGCAGAATTTCTTTCTGTCGCCGATTCCCCGCAGGGCTCTCCAGAATTAGGCAGGGCTGGTGGGAAGCCCCTGGCCGCCAACGCTTGGGAGAACAAGAACAGGCCCCGACAAGGAAAGGCTTATAGAAAGGTGGAGCACGACTAATGAAAATTTAGCTCCAAAAGGGAACAAGACATCCAAAGATAGATAGATATATAGAGATATATACCCGGAGGGAGGGTTTTCGGTCTCGCTTGTCTTCATGAAATTTGCTTAACAAAGGATTCCTCCACGGGCTCACAATGGCTCGATTCTTAGGCTGGAAACTGGGGAAGATGCCTGACCCTCCTCCTGACTGGCCAGAAACCAAAGGTGAAGGGGAGAAGGACCAATTAGTTCAGCATCGGACAACCGTTGGCTCTAGGCAGGCCAACACGCCCCCTTTTTGCAACAGGTTTGGGAGGAGGCGTTTTGAAAAAGCTTCCCAGTCTGATCTGGGTTGCAGGAAACCTGCGGAAACTTTGCCAAGTCCGAAGCAATGAGGGTTTTGTTTTCAAAAACAACAACAACCCAGGAATGGTGGGGTAGGCAGGATAAAAACCAGGAGACTGTGACTTCTAGTGTGTCAGAGTTAAGTTCATGAACTGGAATAGAGCATTGTAATAAGGTCAGCCAATGCATAGGCATAGCAACTGAGTCAGCCAATGAGGACTGTTTGGAAACTGAAACTAGACGTAGCCTAGGCGTGGCTCCATATTAAGCTCTGCGGCTCTGTTAAGCTCTGAGTCTGTCTATTGAAAATGAAACTGCTTCTCTCCTCTGCTGTGTGTCTTGCTTGCCTGTTGAACTAAAGTGAGACTGATGTCTGTTTCTGAGCTCCTGCGTTGCTGCTGTTCTGCTCTGAACCTGTAACATGTCTGCTCCTGTTTGAGTTTGCTCCATGTTGGAGAAATCTACAACTGGTATTGTAAAAGTTACTTTAAATGTTTATAAAGAAGTTAAATGAAGCCTCAGCCACCTGCGTTTACTTTTCTGGCACTGAATTGACGCTGCAATACTCTGAACATAGTGCTGCCTTGGGAGAGAAAAACGATGGTAACTTTGGGCCAATCGCCAGGAGATGGTGAATTCTAGTACTGTCCTGGGCATGATAATCGATTGGGTGACTTTGGGCTAATCACTAGGAGACAGTGAGTTCTGGTCCTGCTTTAGGCATGAAAGTTGGTCGGGTGATTTTGGGCCAATCACTAGGAGATGGTGAGTTCTAGTCCTGCATTAGCCATATAAAAGCCAGCTGGGTGACTTTGGGCCAATCGCCAGGAGATGGTGAATTCTAGTACTGTCTTGGGCATGAAAGCAGATTGGGTGACTTTAGGCCAATCACTAAGAGACGGTGAGTTCTAGTCCCGCCTTATGCATGAAAGACAATGGGTGACTTGGGCCAATTACCAGGAGACGGGGAGTTCTAGTCCTCCTCCTCTTTGAGCTCAATATTTCTGTTGTTAAGTGAGGCAGTGGCTAGGTGAATTTTGCCCCATTTTATGACCTTATTTGCCACAGAATCACTGCAGTCATTCAGTAACACGGTTGCTAAGTGAATCCCTTGGCCAAGTGTGATTGGATGGACATAAGTCGCCCTTTTCAGGGCTGTTTGCAACTTTGAGAGGACACTAAATGGCTACCGTTGTAAGCCAAGGACGACCTGCATGCCCGTCCTTCCTTCCCTGATCAGTGCAGAGTGACATAATTCAATTCATGTTGCTAATTTCTGTGCAAGATCCACTGAACTGTGTTTAATGTTGCATTTTTTACATTTTACGTCGCCCAGTGTGATTGTGAGGCGGTTTTTGGTTGCAGGAGGGGCAGGTCTGTGTCGGACCTAACGGAGGAATTTCGGGGACGGCTTCCAAGTTTCACACGGTAGTCGGCTCACGTCGGAAGAGAGGACAATATCAATTCCAGCCTCTCCAAGAAGAGTCTTCTCCATCCCTCGGCCAAAGACTGGAGGGCCGAAGGGGGGAAAAAAAAAGAGAGAGAGAGAGAGAGAGAGAACAAGCCAAGATCGGTTCCCCAAAGCGTTCGCCCCCTTTTCACAAAAGCCAGTCACCTGCTTAACACATGGGGCTTGTCTGCAGACGGCTATTCAAAAGAGGGGCTGCTTTTCTTTGAGCAGGGGGCACAAGGGGGGGGGGATGGACGACCGACGGGGGACCCACAGCTGGACGCAGAATCGTAAAGCAATTAATCAAACGAGGCTAAAAAGCCAACGGTGACAGGGAGCAGGCTGTCAAGATGGCTGGGTTTATCATGGAAATACAGCCTCCCTCCAACCCCCCGGGGCTCCGAAGAAGAGGCTGCAGTGAGAGCTGTCGGACATGGATGCAAAGGAAACCCTTGACCAGCGAAGGGCCGCGGCTCAAGCCTCTCGGCCCTCATTCCCCCCCCCCCCCCACCTCCAATGAAAGTGTTCGTGGAGGACAGCTCCTCCGACTTTTGAGAGTTGTTTTCCAAGGGGACTGGCTCGCTGCTTTCAAGAACTGCAGCGTTTCGCTTAGCGACTGTGGTTAAGAAAGATGCTCAGGAAAGTCGTGGACTGTGGGTAGCGTCAGCCTGCCATTCTGCATGCTAGTCGTGGAAGGAAGGGAAGAAGAAAGGTAGGAAAGAAGGAAGGAAGGGAAGAAGGAAGGAAATAAATAAATAAGGAAGTTAGGAAAGAAGGGAGGAAGGAAGAAAAGGAAGGAAGGAAGAAAAGGAAGGAAAGAAGGAAAAAATAAGGAAGTTAGGAAAGAAAGAAGAAAGTTAGGAAAGAAATAAGGAAGGAAGTAAATAAGGTAGGGAAAAAATAAGGAAGGAAGCAAAGAAGGAAGGAAGGAAAGAAATAAGGGAGTTAGGAAAAAAATAAGGAAGGAAAGAAGGAAGGAAGGAAAGGAAAGGAAAGGAAAAAGGAAAAGAAAGGAAAGGAAAGGAAAGGAAAGGAAAGGAAAGGAAAGGAAAGGAAAGGAAAGGAAAGGAAGGAAGGAAGGAAGGAAGGAAGGGCAATAACAATAGCACCTAGACTTATATACCACTTTCCAGTGCTTTCCGGCCCTCTCTAAGCAGTTTACAGAGCCAGCCTCTTGCCCCCAACAATCTGGGTCCTCGTTTGACCCACCTCGGAAGGATGGAAGGCTGAGTCAACCTTGAGCCGGTCAGGATCGAACTGCTTGCACTCGACAGAGTCAGCCTGTGTTCCTGCATTCTAACCACTGTGGCTCTTCACGATGATGGTTTGAAGCTAAAAGGCCTGGACCTTCTTGTTATTTTCCTTGCAAACTTACCCAGAGGCTGACATTTCACACACACAGACACCCCCCGGGGACTCACCTTTGCCGATCACCAGGCCACATTTATCGGCGGGCACCGTGTAAGTGATTTCCTGCATGCCGCCGGGGGTGCCCAGGCTCCAGTCTCCCCGTCCACGCCCTCTGCCCCGGGTGACGGCCAGGGTCCCGAAACCATCACGCTCCTGGAAGCGAAGAAGGCGGCACCCCTGAGCACGCGGGAAAGGCCTGGTGGATTATCCCCACCGGCCCCCAGCCAACTGGGAATTCCAGAAAAGCGCCTTCCCCAATTCCACGTCGGATAATAAAAACGAAACCGAGCCTGCCTGTTCTCAGACAATGGGGTCCTCCTCCTCCCAAGTTTCTAGTCCTCATGGAATTTTTGAGTTGGAAAAACTCAAGGAAGTACGGGTAGTCCTTGAGTTCAGCTGTTTGCTCGGTGACCATTCACCAAGGAGGGGGGGGGGAAAACCTGAGTCACAAGACCCCGTCCTTGTAATTATTAAGATTCCCACGGTCAAGCTTGGGCACTGGGGTGTGTGGGGGCAACTGGCAATGTATTTACGACAGTGCCTTGGGCCACAGGATCGCCTTCTGCGACTTTCCCAGCTGGCTTCTGGGAAATTCATGGGTGGGTGGGTGGAGCCGGATTTGCTTAAGAAGCGTGGCAAAAATAAATAAATTGTAAAATAGGATACAACTAGAGTGCTGCATCCAGTTTTGGTCATCACACTGTAAAAAAAATATGTTGAAGCTCTAGAAAGAGTGCAGAGAAGAGCAACCAGGATGATTTAAGGGGACTGGAGGCTAAAACATATGAAGAACAGTTGCAGGAACTGGGCATGGCTAGTCTAGGGAAGAGAAGGACCAGGGGAGACAGGAGAGCAGTGCTCCAATA